TGGAGCTGCTCAAGGATGTTGCAGGCTGATGAGGATTCCAGGATGGGACTGCACTGTCACCTGGCGGCCACACCAGCACATAGCACCACGGGAGGCCTGCCAGGACCCAGAGTGAGCTGACTTTCAATGGTCTAGGCACCATAGATGCCCTTAAAAAAATAAAAGAAACCCTCGATAAAGGGATCTTATTAAAAAGTATAACAGCTCTAGCCCAGCCAGTGTGGCTCAGCAGTTGAGCGTCGATCCATGCATCAAGAGGTCACTGGTTCCATTCCTGATCAGAGCACATGCCCAGGTTGTGGGCCAAATCCCCATGGGGGGGCATGCAGGAGATGGCCAATCGATGTTCTCTCTCATCGATGTTTCTATCTCTCTCTCTCTCCTTCTCCCTTCCTTTCTCTAAAATCAAAAATGAAAAAAAATATATATGACAACTCTAGCCCTGGCTCGTGTGGCTAAGTTGGTTGGGGTGTCGTCCCGTATACCGAAGGGTTTTGGATTTTGTCCCATGGTCAGGGTACATGTGGAAGTTGGCCAGTCGATGTTCTCTCTCACATAGATGTTTCCTCTCTCTCTCTCTCCCTCTCTCTGGAGCATGTCCTTGGGTGAGGAATAAAAAATTTGAAAAGGAGAATGACAACTTTGACTCGAGCACTTAGGAAAGGCATCTTAGGTCTAGATGAGAGTCCAACTTCTCCCCTCCTCCATTTTATAGCCTAGAACAGCAATTTTCAACCTTTTTCATCTCATGGCACACATAAACTAATTACTAATATTCTGCAGCATACTAAAAAATATACTTTTTGCCGATCTGACCAAAAAAATAGGTATAATTTTAATTCATTCACCTTGGATGGCTATTGTTGTGTAGGCTGTTGCCTTTCTTCCTTTCTTCCTTTCTTCCTTTCTTCCTTTCTTCCTTTCTTCCTTTCTTCCTTTCTTCCTTTCTTCCTTTCTTCCTTTCTTCCTTTCTTCCTTTCTTCCTTTCTTCCTTTCTTCCTTTCTTCCTTCTTTCTTCCTTTCTTCCTTTCTTTCTTTCTTTCTTTCTTTCTTTCTTTCTTTCTTTCTTTCTTTCTTTCTTTCTTTCTTTCTTTCTTTCTTTCTTTCTTTCTTTCTTTCTTTCTTTCTCACTGTAAAGAAAAAGAAGTTAGTGCTCCTGACTAGTCAGGTATTGCATGCTTTAAAAATTCTTGCAGCACAGCTCTGGCTGGTTTGGCTCAGTGGTTAAAGCATTGGCCCGTGGACCAATGAGTTGCGGGTTCGATTCTGGTCAAGGGCACGTACCTCGGTTGCGATTTGTACCTGACCCTGGTTGGGGTTGTGCAGGAGGCAGCCACTCAATGTGTCCCTTTCACGTCGATGTTTCTCTCTCTCTCTCTCCCTCCCACTCTATCTGAACAAAAATGGAAAGGTGTCCTCGGGTGAGGATAAAAAAAAGAAAAAAATCTTCTTGCAGCACATCTGTGTGCCATGGCACACAGGCTAAAAATTGCTGGTCTAGAACACTGAGGTCCAGGGAGAAATGATGAGGACAGAGGACCTCAGCATTGTTTTCTATCAAGTCAGCCTCACAGATGGGATCTATTTTCAGACTTGTCTTAGGGTGTGGTACCAGAGTGAGGAACTGCCTTGTTAGTTTCTAGTCACCCTCATTTGTGACCAAACATGGCATCTCTCAGCACCATCATTCACCTTAGTACCAAAGTTGGCAACAAGATGGCTTTTGTCAGCTTCAAAAATAAAATTCACTTTCAGAAGGCCAGGATCTGACAGGGCCAGGGGGACTCAGAAGCATGTGCTTCAGGCTCAGCAGTTTTAGAGTAGGAATTGTCCTGGAGAATATGATATCCAATCCCTCTGTTTAAAAAAACAACAACAGCCCTGGCCGGTTTGGCTCAGCGGTTGGAGCGGCAGCCCGAGGACCAGAGAGGCCCGGGTTCGGTTCCGCTAAGGGCATGTACCTCGGTTGCGGGTTATCCCCGGCCCCGGTTGGGGTCATGTGGGTGGGAGCCACTCAGTGTGTCTCTCTCACGTGGATGTTTCTCTCTCTTCCTCCCTCTCTTTCTCCCTCTCTATCTGATAGATAAATGCAAAAAAAAAAAAAAAAAAAATGTCCTCGGGTGAGGATAAAAAAACAAACAAAAAACAGCAAACAAAATGAGGAAGCTGGGACTCAGGGAGGACAAGCAATATGCCTGAGGCACCCCGCCCTGGAGCTGGGCCAAGACTCAGCTCTGTGTCTTTCTGAAGGCTACTGCCAAGGAGGAGTCTAAAAGTGCATTAGCATCTCTTGACTTGTTGCATTAGTGAATTCTGGTCTGTGTTCATCACTCTGCCTCATACTTTGTAGACAAGGTGATTGTGGTCTGTGAAGGCTGACAAGGGCCAGGGTGGGTAAAAGGAGATGGGGATTAGGAGGTGGTGACAGGGAGGGAGAAGGGGGTCATAGATGCTTTTAGGGGCTCCCAGTTTGTGCACTGTGGGCTTCAAGTAGGTAGGAACTTGGTCTTTTCCACTGTGGTGTCCTCAGCACTTGGCACAGAGCCTGGCATAGACCAAGTGCCCAGTAAATGTCTGCTGAATGAAAACAAGGAATTATCCTGCACAGGCCCAAAGGGACCCTCTGGTTGGTGGAATCTCCCCTTAAAGATGGGTCATTTCAATGTTATTCAGCCTGAGAACTGAGGCCTCAGATCTAAAATCGGGAGGCAGAGCTGTCCATCTCTTTGGCCTTGATGCTATTCAAGGAAATAAGTAGAGGATGCTCAACCTTGGGAGAAAGGCAGAACAGAGTCTGTGAGCCCCAGAGAATAAATCCTGACTCCAAAGTTAGATTATCTAATTCCTGGTTTGTATTTGGCTATTTCCTCTTTGCTTTATGCAAGTTCCTAATCATAATAGTCACTGACGTTAATAGAGGGCTTGCTATGTGCCAGGCATCATGCTAGACTTTCTCTGTTCATTAGTTCATCTGATTTCATAACAAAAGACGCATAAGGTAGGTGATATTATCATTCTCAGTTTATACAGGAGGAAACTGAGTCATAGAGGTGAAGAAACTTGTGCTGGGGCACACAGGGCAGGAACCGAACCAAGGTCTGCAGGATTCCAGAGGAACTTTCCTAAGTACCGTGCTCCACTGCTGCATTTGAAAACTCATCTATACTAGAGAATATTGAGTAAAAGGTAAGGGGCTTATGTTTACTTGGACCACAGTGTTAAAGGGGGTGCAGAACCCCTTCCCCTAGGCCTGCATGGTGGTGACAGTGGGCATTATCAAGGGAACCCCAAGGAAATTCCAGTCATGCCCTGGCCAGTTTGGCTCAGTGGTTAGAGCGTAGGCCTGCAGTCCAGAGAGACCTGGGTTTGGTTCCCGCTGAGGGCACGTACCTCGATTGCAGTTGGTCCCCAGCCCTGGTTGGTCGTGCAAGAGGCAGCCACTCGATGTGTCCCTTTCACATCGATGTTTCCCTCTCTCTCTCTTCCTCTCTCTCCCTCCCACTCTATCTGAACAAAAAATGGAAAAATGTCCTCAGGTGAGGATAAAAAAAAAAAAAGAATTCCAGTCATTCCTTCCCATGAAGATTGGGGAAGGTATAGGGACAGGTAGATGAAAGTGGAGGAGACTAACCTCAGGTTCAATTCCGCCGATGTATATTGAGCACCTACTCTGTGCCAGGCCTATTATGGACACTAGAGAAAAAAGAACTTTAACATAGTGCCCTCTCTGAAGATGCTAAAGGACATACACTTATGTTTCTGGAGCAGAGTATGATGCTTGAGACACTACCTCCCTCCAAGGGCAGAAGTCCACTCTATCACTAGAGCCCCATGGATGGCTCTAGCCAAGGCAGAACTCCGCTCAGGCATGTATGGTGAGTATCAGGTCAGGGGACTCAGCCCAGCTTCTGCTCTTGGATATAAGCCATGGAGAGAATATTTGAGGTGCAAAATAGGACCTGTCCCACCTATGCACCTCTTCTACAAACAGTATTTCCCTGGTGACCTGGGGCAAATCAGCTGAAGTAACCAATTGCCATCTGCAGAGGTGGCATTGGACCTGAGGACAGGAGCAAGCAGGATGATCCTCTTCCCTATCCATCCATGCACACTTGTAATGGACGAATTTCTGGATTATAAGTGAGGACAGCTGGCTTGGCCCTTTTGTGACCAGATTTTGTGATTCACATGTGGCTACTTCCCAGGGGTGCAGATCTCCCCAGAGGCTGGGCTGGCATTGAGGCTGGTGCCCACTCACAGACCAGAGCGTTGGCATGATTCTCTCTCTCTTTCTACTAGTGATGGAACCAGCCTTACCTTTACTGACATTTGATTTCTAAGGTCTCTTTGCCCTCCCTCTGCCTCGGTCCTGGCATTCTGCTTCACCTGGACAGGCCTCTCAAACTTCAAATCTCTCCAAGGATTTGGGTTGGCCTTCCCTTCCCATCCAGAAGGCACATGCTCTGGATGCAAACTGTCCACCTATCCCAGAGTTCTCTGTGGGAAGGGAGGCCTTGGTGAGCCCTCCAAACACTGCTGTTAACACACTTTCCTCAAGGCAAAAGTCTGGCCTTCTATTCTCCATCTGAGGGAGACCACTGGTACTTCTTCAGAGAATGGCGATCTGGTGTCTACGGTTCTGCCTAATCAGAGAAGTAGCTGGAAGCTTCTCTCACTGAGACCAAACTGAGCTCTGCCTCCCCAGGTCCCTGTGAAATCCAGCCTGAGCATTCATAGTGTGACAGGGGCAGTAGGAAGCTCTGCTAGGGATGGAATCCGAGAGGAAGGGATGTCTGAGCCAGGTTAGGAGCTTCAGAAGGACATTTTAGGCAGAAAGGGACAGCACATGCCAAGACCCAGGGACAAAATCAGCTGGTTGTGTTCCAGGAGCTGTGATTAGCTTCAGGGGGAAGTGAGGGTGGGGGCATGTGGATGAGACAGACCAGACCCAGATCTTGGGCTTCTTACAGCAAGGACAACTCACAGGACAACGGGTTTTCTGAGATAACTTTATTCTCTTTTCACCTAGGTCACTGGCGAGTGTCACAGAGAAAGCTGTAGACTTCAGCTGGAAGAAGTGGGGGCACAGTGTCCTGGGAGCTGCTGACTACTCATCCTCTTCCTTTGACTTCTCGTTTTTTAGGTGCTTGTGGACAGTATAGCCTAGAAAGGCACCAATCTTGGCCATGAGGGTATTACCACCAGTAGCCCCTGTAAAGAAAGTATAGCCAGGTGACTTGCAGCTCAGACATTGGGCCTGAGAATCCAAAAGTCTGGAAACCATTGGTCCAGTCCAACCTCTTCATTTTCAGATGGAGAAACAGAGGTCCAGCGAGGGGACAGGACTTCTGCAAAATGAATCCTATTTCCCCCACTCCCTCCAACTCACCACTTCAAATCAGAGCTGTGTTTCAGGGATGAAAAAGACAAAATAACAACTCATTCTCTTCATGTCTGCAATGAACACATATTATTAATAATGCTAATAACAGCCACCTTTGTGGAGACATTTCTGTGGGTACTGGGGGGTTCACATGTAAGGGAGGACAACCATCTTATAACACAGGACTGTTCCTAGCCCTGCCCAAATCCCTTACTTCCCACTGGGGTATGACCTGGTCTGTCTTTCCCTCTGCCCTCTCTAAGAAGGGTTCTGTTCTTTTGGGCTGGTTCTTTGGGTTTTGCCACTCAGAACTGAGAGATGATGGAGGGTTCACAGAGGCAGAGAGACAGTTAGTCAGAAGTGATTTTTCTCTAAGATTTTGAGGCCTTAGAGAAAGAGAAAGAGGTGGAGGAGAGATCAAGGGAGAGACAGAGAAAGAGAGAGAGAGATAAATAGATACGAGTGCACATTTTATAGAAGGATCATTCTGAGCTCTGTATCTATCTCCTTCACGGTGTTCAAAGAAGGCAAGTCAAGACCAGGATTGAGCCCAGCTGGTGTGGCTCAGTGGTTGAGCATGGAGCCATGCACCAAGAGGTCTCCGGTTGGATTCCTAGTCAGGACACATGCCCAGGTTGTGGGACCAATCCCCAGTGGGGGGCATGCAGGAGGCGGCCAATCGATGTTCTCTCTCATCGGTATTTCTGTCTCTCTCCTTCTCCTTTCCTCTCCCTCTAAATATCAATTAAAAAAAAAAAAGCAGGATTGGTATAAGATTGAATTGGGTTGTCCCACCACGTGTTTTTGCCACTCTGGTTCTCTGAGACTGAGCAGATTCATAAAATGTTAAATTGAGGATTATTATTCTGGTTAAAGATGAGAAAACTTAGACTTGTGACGGCCAAAACATCAGTGAGGCGCCCAGCTAAAAGCAAGGAATCAGGCTGACTGGGTTTGAATCCTGGCTCTAGTGCAAGCCAGTTGACAGAATTTGAGTAAATTACTGAATCCCACGGTCCTCAGTTCACTCACTGTATGACAGGATTTATAAGAATACCCACCTCTGCCCTGGCCGGTTTGGCTCAGCGGTTAGAGCAACGGCCAGCGACCACAGTCGGGGGGTTTGATTCTGATCAAGGGAACTTACCTCAGTTGGGGTTTGGTCCGAGGCAACCAATCGATGTGTCTCTCTCACGTCGTTGTCTCCCCCCCCCCCCCCCATCTGAAGATAAATGGAAAAGTACCCTCCGGTGAGGATTTTTTTTTTTAAGCTCCAGGATCCAGCCCCGACTCACCCAAGCTCTGCAGCGTGGCCACCACCCCTCCGGCGGGTACGCCGCCCCCATTCAACAAGGCCGACCAGCTCATCAGCGAGGCTGCCAGCGAATTGGCAGCGATGCCGGCGCCAGTGAAGCCCAGAGCGGGCAGCCCCATGGCCAGGACCCCTGGAGGAAGAGGAGGCGGTGAGTGAGCGTCCACCGCCCGGGCCCACCTTCCCCAGCTCTCGCCGTCCAGACCCACCACCCACCTCCTCCGACAGCCATGTAGGCCAGCTGGCCCCAGAATCCGGAGCCGCTGTCTTCCGAGTCTTCCCTTTTGCCTGTTGGAAGAGAGGACAAAGTAGAGTACATTGGGGAGCAGAGGTGGGGAGCAGAGTCCCCTACTCTGTGCCAGATGCCTAGGGAGCTGGGGGCCACCATCCTCCTATTTCCGAGAGCTGCGTCCTGCCTGGCACGTAGAATGGAATTGACAGAGCAGAGATGCCAATCGTTCCTCTCGTTCAGGGGCACTCTGGAATCTCTAAGACTAAACCAAATATTATGAAATTTCCCACTCTTCCCCCCCCCCCCATTCCTTATTGATTTTAGAGAGAGAGGGAGATAGAAACATCGATTGGCTGCCTCCTGCATGCTCCCCACTGGGGATCGGGCCCACAACATGGGCATGTGTCCTGGCTGGGAATTGAACCAGTGACCTCTTGGTGCACGGGCCGACGCTCAACCACTGAGCCACACCGGACAGAAACTTTCCACTTCTTTTCCCCCAAGTCTTCCCTTTGCCCCAGGATCCTTACCTGCCTCCACGCCGCTGCAGGTGTAGAGTAGCAGGTAGCACAAGAAGAGTGATACCGCCTTCTGCCGCATGGTGGCGCCGCGCGCAGGTTTGTAGCTGGACCTGGGAAGGGGGAGAGGAAAGAGAGAATCTAGAACCATTTTGAGCCACCCTGCTCAAGCTGTTTTCGTTTCCAATTGGAGGATGAGTCAATAAAAAGCAGCGAAGTGCTCTGGACTGAGCCCAGGACCCCTTTAATAGGTTTGTTTGTTTTTTTTTAAATATCTTATTTTGTCCACGCCCCTAGCGGGGGCCGAACTCCGGACTCTTTGATCCGCAGACCGATGCTCCAACCACTGAGCCAAACTGGCCATGGCTCCAGGAACCCTTTAAGGAGTTGTGAGATTTCCGTTTCCCCGCGGCAACAACGGCGGTGATGTTCCTGCCTCGCCCGGTGGTCGTGAGAATCAGTGAGGGAATCCTCTTCTGGCAAGGTGCCTGGCACTTGGCGCGTGCTCAGTGATGTCAGCTAGTATCATTACTGTGGTTTCTGTTCTTGATTTTGTCGTTGCTGCCTGCGTGACCTTGGGCAGGATACTAGGGCCTTCTTTGGGCCTCGATTTACTTATCCCTAAGATACTGGTATTAATAGAGCCTATTTCAGAGGGTGGCTGTGAGTTTTGAAACTATTCACCACTGTGTCACTAGCACTTAGAACAGTACCTGTCACATAGAATTTTCTAAAAAATGGTTGTTTGATCAGCTTATTCTTCCAATGCATTGAATATTTATAGGCACCAAACATTGTCCTCATACCAACTTCATTTTTCAGAAAGAAAGCACAGAGGGATTAAGGAGCTTGCCCAATGCCAAACAGTAAATTGTGCAGCCTAGACACACACTCACGACTATCGGAATTCAAAACCCATGTTCTTTCCATTATACCACAAAATAGGAAAACGCATATGCCCCCAAATTCACCTCTAATGTGATTTTAGTCAGCTCAATACAATTTTCTTGAATTAAAAACAAACCCCACCCTTCTTGTACTGAGCACTTACTCAGCACTTCATGGCACAAGGTCATTTATACCTGTAACAACCACATGAAGTAGGTACCGTTATTCTCAATCATGTGTTATATCGATAAGGAAACTGAAGCTCAGAGAGTATATTACCACGCCCGCCCAGCCAGGAAGTGGCAAAATCAAGATTTAAACCCTCACCCTGGCCGGTTTGACTCCGTGGTTAGAGCGCCAGCCTGCGGTCCAGAGAGACCTGGGTTCGGTTCCCGCTAAGGGCATGTACCTCGGTTGCAGTTTGTCCCCGGCCCTCATTGCTCGTGGGGGTGGCAGCCACTCGATGTGTCCCTTTCACATCGATGTTTCTCTCTCTCTCTCTTCCTCTCTCTCTGTCCTGCTCTGTCCGAATAAAGAATGGAAAAAAGTCCTCCGGTGAGGATAAAAAAAGAAAGATTTAAACCCTCAGTTACTGATATACAAACCCACCTTTTTTACAATCATTCCAGATAACTCCATTTATCATCCAAGATAAACTCACTGTCACATTAGATTCTACAATAAATGAGTTTCAGAAATCATCCAGTCAGGTAATGTGGCTTATCATTTTGCAGGTGAGGAACTAAAGCTCAAAAAGGTGAAATGACAGAGTTAAGGCCACAGATGGTTAATATGGCATCTGTGACCTAAGTCTTATGCCTTTTGGGGTTTTGCACCTAAAAGGCCCAATTATCGGAGAAACATCTGTAACAAAAATAAATTAATAAAAATTGCACACAAAAAAAGCCCCAACTATCCCCTCAGACCAGTCTTAGCCCAGAGCACTAAAAGGGAATTGGATGTAGCCTCCCTGAGAAATAGGCATCCTGGCTTTCTGGGCTTGTAGCTCACAGGTAGGCAGCCTGGCAGATGGTGATACCCATGCCTCATACTTTCTGGGTTTACCTTGGAGAAGAGAAGAAATCTTCCTGCCTGCTGATAGATGCGAGCAGCAGTGAGGTACAGCTCTCTCAGGCTGCAGGCTGCAGGCTGCAGGCTGCAGGCTGGCTTTTTATAATCACATTCCCATCGCCTCTCACCCCCATTTCTGATGGCCAATCCCTGTCAGAGTTTCCATTTCCTACACTCTGCAGTTTCCTTTTCTCCTCCTTCTCCTCTCTGTTCCCCCTGCTGGCAGCAAAATGTGATTCTTACCAGAAGCTTTGAACAGAGTAGAGTATTCAAAGCAGGCCATGCTACAGTGCGATGCACAGCCCTGCTGGACTTAGTAAAGCCTGACCACTAGTTCCTCTTGAGGCCCAGAGGCCTTTCACAATTCAGTTCAATGAATAATAATGCCTACCATTTATTGAGCACTTGCTGCATGCCAGGACCTGTGCAGAGTGCTCTATGTACACGATCTTTCCAATCCCACAATAGTTTCGCAAAGTACCATATACTGTGTTTTTTTTAATTAATTATTTTAAATCCTTACTATGAGTTTATTTTATCCTATAACGAGTTCAAATTTTCACATGATTAAGGCTTTTTTATGGCTACCAGAACAGGATGTGGGCTGCAGAATCCCTGCAGACAACTCCTTCCAAAGCCCCTCAAATCTTGGTTTAATCCACATAGTTAAGAGCTCTTCTAGATGGCCATTTTCTCGGCTTGCAGCTTTGGGAGAAGCATCATGAAAATCATTCACCTTCGGATAACCTAATGAAACCAGACAACAAATAGGTCCCGGCCACCTGTCGCTACTTGAGCCAATTAAGCAGAGAGAAGGTTGAATCGTATATGAGCGTTTATTCCAATATTTGCTGGCAGTATGGGAGAACATGGGTCATCCTGTAAAATCTGCTCTGCCCCCCAGAACCCCCACTTGCCAGCTGCTTTTAAAAGGTAGAGAAACGATGACTACGTGAGAAAGGGCAGATAGGCAAAAAGAAAAAAATGGGTAAATTGGTTACAGGCAAGGAAGGGAGAAGGAATGTGGGCCGGGGGCCTCAGGGGCTTGTTGCCAGTGAGTTGCAGTCACAAGTCCAGTGTTCCAATAATCAGGTTGTTAATCTTTCCATGATGTCAGGTAGTCCCCCTTGTCCTCAGATTAGGAGAATGGACAGCATTCCTAAGATAAATTCCCAAGGCGTATGTACACCTCCCAACCAGGTCAGAATGGGCTTTTCTTTAATCAGAACAAAGCAATCATGATTAACATTGTAAAGAATGATTAAGGATTTTTCTAACGGCTAGTGCCCCACTATGATTAGCTTTCATATTCTTCTAATATTTTCTATTCTAATATTCTTTCCTGCCCCTTGGAGCCAGTATGGATTTCAGGAGCACTTTAATGCTAAGAGTAATTTATTTCTTGTGGAGTTTTGTTTTTGTTTTAAAATATGTTTTATAATCTGTGGCTCAGAGGTTGAGTGTTGACCCATGCACCAAGAGGTCGCTGGTTCGATTCCTGGTCAGTGCACATGCCCAGGTTGTGGGCCAAATCTCCCGTGGGGGGCATGCAGGAGGAGGCCAATCGATGTTCTCTCTCATCGATGTTTCCATCTCTCTCTCCCTCTCCCATCCTCTCTGTCTCAAATCAACAAAGAAAAAAAAAAGTTTTATTGGTTTTTTTAGAGAGATAGAAACATTAATGAAAGGGTCAGTAATGTTTTAAAGGGTAAAGGTAAAAGTTTGCAAAAGGTGGAAACTGTGGAAATTGTGTTGCTTGCATGACCTTTGCTCAGCCTTCTGTTGAGTAAGGAGAAGGTTTATCTGGATTGTCCGCAAGGCAATGGATAACCCAGCAGATGCCGGACAAGATACCAGACCAGCCCTACTGCAAGGTGGACAATGGGCCAGATAAAGTACATTAGCAGAAACTGCCGAAAGCTAAAAGTAGGGTATATAACCAACACCCCAACCCTGATTTGAGGCTGAACCCTTCTTGGCTCAGCCCACTTGCACCCAGGCACGTGCAATAAAGCCATTTTGCTCTACACTGGCCTTGCATTGTGGATGTGATCTCCTGCCAGCTCAGACCTTTTAATCAATGTGAGAGAGAAACATCGATCAGCTGTCTCCTGCATGCCTCCTACTGGGGATCAAGCCCGAAACCTGGGCATGTGCCCTGACCAGGAATCGGACTGGGACCTCTCAGTCCATGGGACGATGCTCAATTTACTGAGCCACACCAGCCGGGCTCCTGTGTAGTTCTGACATTCCAGTCAGGCTGGCCAGATGAGTCAGAAGGAATCTGTTGAGGCATTCTTGGAATCATACTGGAAGTACCTGGCAGGGATTGCTGCTTCAAGGCTTCCTTTTCAAGGGGTTTTGTGTTCTCCTGCATGACTATGGTCTTCTTCGTGGAACTAGCCACAGATATCAACAGCTCTTCTTATGCTTTAGTGATTTTCCTGTAATGATAAAGCCAGTGAGCCAGGTACTCTATGAGGTCACTGGGCTGAACCTTTATCATTTCTGCCAGTGCCTGGGCAAGGCAGTTTCCAAAACACCTCTAAATGTAGTCAGTTTCCTGTTGGCAAATTCCAGTCCTGATTCTGCCATTTATTAGCTGTGTGGTCTTCAGCAGTCTCTGTGAGCCTTGGTTTTCTCATCTACCCTCGTGCCTTCTCCAATTGGCCATGTGTTCTCTCCCCTACCATATTGTATATAATCCTCATTTTGCAGAGGAGATTAAAGCTTGTGAAATTAAGTCATTCCATACCATTGTTCTCTCAAGCTAGCTGCTTCTGGGTGATGGGCATATGGTAAGACCAGTGAAGTCTATGTTCCTGTGGCCTTACATCCTTTGCCATAAAATGGGTCTTCTGGCTCTAGGTAATAGATTGAATGCTCTTTAAATCTTTGGATGGTGATGCTTGCAGGAGCACTATGGGTAAGAAATGTAAGTTCCAACAAGGATGAATCATTGCCTTCTCCAATGTGGAAGGGAGCTGTCACGAGGTGGCTGGCTGTTCTCCCTGACCAATGTTGTTAAACTGCTGCCTGCTGCTGGCCAGTTAGCTATTTGTTGGCAGTTGCTAGACCAGCCTTGGTAAGAGGGAGCTCAAGTTGTTGGATCCATCCATAGCCTCCTTGCCACCATGACCACTTTTTTATGAATCTTTTGCAAAAAAATAGAGTGACAAAGTTTAGAGGCTGGCTGACATCCACATGATGGGACATCTGACCACGTGGCTGGAGAGCTTCTTCCTCCAGTGGATGGTCTCTGGTGAGCACTAATGTGAGACACAAAGATCTGCATGCTTCGTGCCCACTCCTATAACTCCATCCATATGCCCCTTACCCAGACCTGCTTATCTCCAAAATTCCAATCTTGCTCTTTCCATGCCCTTGACCAACTAGCCAAGCCATTTACCACTTATCACAAATTAGTGTATATCTGAACCTCAGTCCATCTCTTCCTCTATACAAAAGATATGACAAAGTATACTTGCTCCCCTGTGAGGACTAACCACTCTCCTTCAGGGCTATCTCCAGCTAGGGCCATAACAGAGTGGTCCATTTCCAGATGGTACCAAAATATCTCACTGACCTATCTGTGAAACGAGATCAACTTCTTTCCTTCTTTATCAGTTGGTTGCAGGGAACCCTCCATGAGGCCATAGGTATGGGTTAAAGGAGAGGTGTCAGATCAACAGATTTAAATCTAGGTGCCACAGGAGTCTGAGCTACCTGTTCATTTGATTTACTCATGCCTCTGGGCTCTTTGAGCCGAGTTCTGAAAGTACCACTTCCATCATATTGGATTGCTGCTGCACCTGTCTGATAACATCTGGCTTAAGACATATAGCCACCTGGCATCCAGTGGTCAGATGCTCAGTCACTACTGGGCCCAGTGACACATCAGGACCTTCATGTTCAAATGGACCATGGTGAGATGAACCGAAGAACTTATATGCATCTATGCATAACCAATGGACATAGACAACAATGCTGGAGGGTGAGGGTGGGGGTGGGGGGTGGGGAGGAGGGTGTCTAGAGGGGGAAAAGGAGAAACATTTGTACAAAAATAAATTAATAAAAATTGGAAAAGGACAAAAAACAAACAGATGGACCATGGTGAGTATGGCCTTACTACAGAATCCTAGGGGTCCTCACTGCAACCTTTCTATTTGAGCCTTCAGAGACTCCCTACAGAATGTTTATCCTAGATGGATTCCTCCAGCAACTTTGTATCTGTAGGATCATATAATCCAAAGTGTCAGCATAGCCTGTTTTATGTTTGAACCTGCTGTACAGCCCTTTCTTGCTCTGGACACTATTCACAATTGGCAGCCTTCCTGCTCACCCAATGAAGGGTTGGAGAAGTAGTCCTGAATGTGTATATTCTGCCTCCAAAATCCAAAGAGGCCTACCAAACACTGTGCCTCTCTTTAAGTTGTGGGTTGTGTGGAGAGAGACAACTTGTCCTGATGTGCCCCAAACCACTGAACTCCTAAAAATGTTCCCAATGTGGCAGGACCACAAATCTTCATGTAATTTATCTTTTACTCTCTGGCAAACATGGTGCTTTTACCACTTCCTGTTCATGTACAATGAGCAGGGTATCATTAATGTAGTGGACCAGCATGTTGTTCTGTGGAATGTCAAGGTGATCAAGGTCCCTGAAGACAACGTTATGACAGAGAGCTGGAAAGTTAACAGCCCTGAGGGGAGAGAATGAAGGTGCTATCATTGTGACATTGTGAAGTAAAAGCAAACTGCCTTTCATCTTCCCTTCTCATGGGCATTAAAAAGAAATCATTTGTGGCCCTGCCGGTGTGGCTCAGTTGGTTGGAGTGTTGTCCCATACATTGGAAGGTTGTGGGTTCGATACCTGGGTTGGGGGTTTGATCCTTGGTCAGGGTGCATATGAGAGGCAGCTGATGGATGTCCACACCCCCTTCTTTCTAAAAATCAATGAACATGTCCTCAGGTGAGGATTAAAAAAAGAAAGAAAGCTGGTGTGGCTTAATGGTTGAGCTTCGACCCATGCATCAAGAGGTTGCCTGTTTGATTCCCGGTCAGGGCACATCCCCAGGTTGTGGGCCAAATCCCCAGTGAGGGGC